CTTTTTTGCCATTGCAAGAAGGAGATACATAGTATTGTGCGATACACCTACAGGGGCCCAGCGACAGAAAGAAAATAAATGGAAAAATTTATCAGCAACCATCTGACGTAATGAAGATAAGTGATTCCAAGGCTGATCGCACACTGCTTGTTTGAGGCACACCCTTCTTAAATCTCTAATTTTGCTTGCCTTTGTGGGAACAGCACCCATATTACCTTTCATTCCACAGACAACGGTGGTCACTGGTCTGTACTTGCACATTCGGTACGCGACCAAGACATACCGGAAGAAGCAAAAACAAGACAATTTCCGATGGTGCGTTGGTTGGTTAAGCTCACTGAAAGCTAATAGTTACAAAGACATCGAAACAATGAAGTACTACTCATTACCACCTTTGCTTACTATTTGCCTCTTTCAAGTTGGCACATTTGATCCTTTGGACTAGCCTTGTTATATGATATGCTGGGTTTAACGTCCCAAAACCACCATTTCATTATGAGAGACACCGCAGTGGAGAGCTCCGGAAATTTCGATTACCAGGGGTTCTTTAACGTGCACCCGAATCTGAGCACATGGGCTTACAGCATCCTCGTCTCTATCGAAAATGCAGCCGCCGACGCCGGGATTCGATCCCGCGACTTGCGGGTATCTTAACCACTAGACCACCGCGCCGGGGCACGAGCGTTGTTATTGCCCACAGATTTCCGTGGTGGAGCCGTAGGTGCAAAACGCAGCGCCAACAAGCGTGAACAAATAAAGAAAGAAAGAGAAAAAAAGAAAGAGAAAAAGAAAAAGAAAGAAAGAAAGAAATAAAAAGTTTTTAGCCTCTTTTCTAACTACATTGAAGGACGTCATCAAATGGTCAACATGCAAGATCTTACGTCGTCGTTATTAAACATAAAGACAGGGGTACCTCAGGGGTCCGTCCTGGGGCCACTATTATTCTCACTATACGTAAATGATCTGCCATACATACTCCATTCGGCCGAGTTGCTAATGTACGCTGATGACACAGTTTTAATAGTTACCGCCAATAACATAGCCGATCTAGAATATAGAGCTAACGAAGAACTAGCAAATATTTTTAAGTGGTTTACAGTGAACAAATATAACACTCAATGCAAAGAAAACCAAATACACCATTTTTCACTCCCGTTACCGAAATGTAAGATGTGAGTTATTTCGACTTACAATGAACAACTACCATCTTGAGCATGTAAATGAATTTAAATATCTCGGTGTAGTGTTCGACAGCCAATTACACTGGAAAAAACAAATTAACTCTGTTTGTACTAAGCTATCATCTGGCTGCAGTATGCTACTGGCTGCTAGAAATTATTTTAGCAGAAATATTCTCGGAGTCCTTTATTTTTCGTTTGTTCATAGTCATCTATCATACTGCTTAGACTCATGGGGATGCACCTTTAAAACTTACCTTGATCCTATCCGGATATTACAAAAGCGTGCACTTAGAATTATAGATTATGCGGCATATAATGAACCCAGTAAGTTTTTGTTTCACAAGTTGAATATTCAACCTTTTGATTACATATGGCAGCATAAAACCGCAGTCATCATCAACAATGTTATTGCACACAGTGTACCTTTCGATATATCTATCTTTTCTTCCTCGTCCCGCGTCGCTAGATGCATGACATTGCAGAATTTTAATCTTCCACCCACTAAAAACGTGTATGGTGAACGCTTACTACAGTTCGTAGGAGCTAAAGTGTGGAATAACATACCACTTCAGATTAAAGATTCTAGGGTTTTCTCGAGCGCACTCAAAAAATATTTGCTCCATGTAGATCAATAGTAATGACCATGTACTAAGCCTTACACATAGTTTGATGTTTTGTCTATACTTGATTATTTTATTAATTATGAACAAAGTGCAACAATGTGTATCTTCTTGTATTTTTGTTCGTTTGTTGAAAAATCAACGTTTTTTGATGTTTTGATTTTTTCTTATATACAAATTGTATTCTGCTTGTATACTTTCTCCCGTTAGACCCCTTACTAGCCTATGGCTATGGGTCTAATCAGTGTTGTGCATTTGTTGAAATGTGGTCATAACAACCTCAATAAAATGGAAAAATGTATATGAAGAAAAAAAGTCAGCAAAGAAAGAAAGGAAAATCGATAGATAGATAGATAGATAGATAGAAAGATAGATAGATAGATAGATAGATAGAGAAAAGAAAAATAGACACAAAGAACATAAAGAAAGAAAGAAAGAAAGAAAGAAAAAGAAAAGAAAAACAAAGAAAGAAAGTAATAAAGAAAGAAAGAAAGAAGTAAAAAAAGAACGAAAGAAAGAAAGAAAGAAGAAAGAAAGAAAGAAAGAAGGAAAGAAAGAAAGAAAGAAAGAAAGAAAGAAAGAAAGAAAGAAAGAAAGAAAGAAAGAAAGAAAGAAAGAAAGAAAGAAAGAAAGAAAGAAAGAAACACATTCCGCTCCGCAACTGTTCTGTTTTCGCGATAGGGCATGGACTCCTCAATATTTTGAAATAGAATTCGTTACATCAATGGGTTTGTCTTACAAGGAACGCTGCCAACACTTTCAAATGCATTTCTTTGCGTGCTTCAAGCATTTTTGGCATCCATCCATCTATCCGTCCGTCCGTCCGTCCGTCCGTCCGTCTATCCGTGCGTTCGTCCGTCCTCCTGTCTGTCTGTCTGCTTACGTCTGAGTGTTCTCTTCACACCCTTAACTTGGCGTGACCAAAAATTAATGTGGGAGGGTAAGATGCTTAGACGAACATGACGCGCTGGTCAAGACATTCGTAATGTCACACTCCCATCGCGTACGTCGTCAAACACTTTCCACCAGACAGTGGCTTATACACGCAGGCCGGTATGCGCCACTGGTGTGCGGTGCGTGCCACACTCAGTATCTACCAAGAAACGGCAAGAACACATATGGGTAATTTTAATACGTGAACGTTAAACAACAACAAAAAAGCTAACATCGGCAGCGCTGAGCCGACCACTGCAAAGAATTAGAGTCTTGGTATCAGCAGGAATCGAACCCCAGCATTTTGCGTGGCAATCAAGTAATCGACCACAGAGACACGCCACGTCTCGGAACTACTTTTCAAGTAGACCCTAATGTTCGTGAAACGTTCATAGTGGTTGTAGTGCTGACTATCCAATTTTCGCTAACATTACATATGTACTCCTATGATACAGCCGTCAAATAGGGGGGGGGGGGGGGTTAACGTCAATTGTAGATAGGGTTCATCCACTGAAATTTATTTATGTGGTAGTGTCCAGGCTTACCATCCTCGCGAGCACTAGTACTTCAGATAAGCTAATCGGTTTTGGTGTTTCCAACATGGTGTTCCGGTTGGCATCGTTTCGTTGCGCAAGTGCAAACTGGTTGTATAAACATCTGCAACTGTTCAACATATATCTGTGGGTGCAACATTTATGCATATATTTCGCGTCATTTCATAACGTGTCGCACAATAAAAAAACTACAACACAGTTACCTCCCCCCCCCCCCCACCCCGCATGCTTCGCATAACGTCGATACCCAAGGTACGTGAAATCTGCCGAATGCGTTTGTCTATGTGGGTCTCTAGAAAACCAATCTCATTGACAAACTCAGGAAGCATAATATATGCCTCCCAGGTTTGGAAAGAATTGAACCCAATGACTGTGTCTTCAAATATACACCATACAATTTCCAAGACATTGGTTCGATATTTACGCAAGCGTACCGGGAAATGCGCTCTTACAACGCTTCTTACGCATCGATGGGTCGACGCGTCAAACCCTCGTCCCTCAAATCGATTGCTTACGCAGTAGTGATTCCGATCTCAAACTTTGTAAAGTTCTCCGACCACATGCAGGTATTTCTATTAGGAAAACGGGGCCTTAAGACATTCCTTCCGCCACCACTGCAACGAAAAAGGTAACGCCCCCCCCCCCCCCACCCCACCCCCGGGTCTATTACGGTTAGGTTTCTACAGAGTATTCACATCTGCCTAAATTTTCTAATTTTGGGGCCGTGGAATACTCTTAGTTCAAAACTATTCACTCCGCCAGAAAAAGTGACAGTCCAGAGATCCCAGACACAGAACTGCGAGGAAATTTCCGGAAGCTGGTAGATGCCACATACATGAAAGGTTCTTCTGTGAAAGAGCCAGCAGAACCCAATTAAGGGAAGGCGGCCAGCCACACGTACAGTTGCTCCAAATGGTGTAAGCCATCAACACCCAAGTCCTCGCAAGTTTAGCCTACACCCACCCTCCCTCCCCAAGCACACACACAGACGACCCATTTGCACGGGTATTCCGAGAGGAACGAAAACCCTCGTGCGAAAGGTATACACGGGAGTAAGGATATTACCGGTGTGCCTGGCCCTCCGGCATTCCAGGATAGACTACATACGTCCCCGAAAACGGGAAGCATTGGCTGTACACTGTCGTCCGCATGAATGGAAGGGAGGCCACCGCAGGCCCAGTTTTAGACGAAGCTCACGAGTCTTCTTCTCGAAGATGGGCATTGCCGTACTCTGGTTGAAGCCAAGAGGAAGGCATTCCAGGCGGAAAACGAACCGTCGACCTGCGTTGTCGGCATGCCCGGGATTCGATCCACTCCTTTTCTTTTCTTTCTTTTTTTTGTGAACGGTTACGGTTATCGAACCATCTCGAGGCCAATGCCACATGCTCAAGCGAGTCGTCTACGCTCTTGCCGGTTTCCAACCTCGCAAAAGCTTAGACCGCATGCAGAAATGGAACAAATGCTTGAGATTTGGTCTTCACGACGTTTAAAATTGACGTGTTCGGTTTGAGTGATCTTACACTTCAACATTTTTTTCAGCTGTAAATGTTTGTATATATGATCACCTTGTCTATCTTAGCATCGTCATCCATTACGATTTTTTCTCCCTGGTGTAGATCAGCAGGCTAGAGCACGCTTTCGCTCAGGCCGACCTCTCTGCCTTTCTGTAAATAAACCTCTCTCTCTCTCCCTCTCTTTCTCATTACGCTTACTGGAGATCAGGGTAGTAGAACTCTAAGAACTGGTTCATAAGGGAACGGGGCATGGCTCATGCGTTTTATTCCGACGGAGGTATGACAGTGGGGGCGGCGCTGATGTTATTAAAGACGACAACAATGGTGACTGATAACCTCACCTTGTTGTGACGGCTCCTCGGCAAGCGCTCAGCGAGATATTATGAAGATGACCAAGGTTTACTAAAACAAAATTTTATTAACTGACGTTGCAGTTTCAGCACTACCGCTGAAGGCAAAGCGAAGACGCTTTGATGTATATAACAAGTACTTGAATTGCAATATTTAATAGTAAATGACAGAAAAAGTTTCGAATTCCCCTCGAAATTACTATAAAAATAGCAAAAGTGGCATAGAAGCGAGGCGATCGAGTTTGGAGAATGGGAGAGGCCAATGAGCTGTAATGAGGTGAGGGTCTGACAGGGGAACGGTTGATTCTGAACGTCCAGAAAGATATTCGACTTCTACGAAACTGAATGTTCTCAACACAATGGTGATGAACTGCCTTTATTAGGGAGGAATCAGGCGTGCTACGGTAGTAACTGGCCTGCTTACACCCGACACGAACTCGGACAGACAGAACAACAAAGACAGCGAGAAGGAAAGAAGGATAAAGAGGAACAGGCCACGAAATTCCGGTCACGTGCCCCTTTATTGGGGCTTTTCATTACGGCCCGACGAGGTGCACACGCGTGCGCCCCCTGTAGACCGAACAGGACAGCCGGACCGGATGTCGCTCACAGCGCCACCTGCACTGTCTACACCACTTTTATTTCTCCGTCTCCCCAGGGGCTCGTTTTTCCTCTCTCTACTTCACGTCGTTTGCAGTGCCACCACATATGCTCCGTTCTGCTTGCCTTCTTTCGGTTATATGTATGGCTTTTTTGTCGTTGTTGTTGTCATCGCTGACGCTGTTTCGTCTCGGAGCAATCGCGCAAGAATGAAGCGCTGTAACAACGGCAGCACCGGCTTCAGTGTTTTGCGTTTTCTTTAATCAAGCTACGAAACACGTAGCTTCGTTACATTTCATCCAGCACTGCGCTTCTTTATTTTTCTTTTGACTTACTGGGGTTCCACTTTCCTCTTGCGACACTGTCACAACTCTCGACCGGCGCGCGTTGCCCTCCCAGCGTCCGCAAGTGCCACCCCTCTGGTCGTCCTTCTTTCTATACGACCTTTACGTGCCGAGGATTTCAAAGCAACATCGCCGTCGCATCCTGCAATGACTCGGTGACGACGAAAATACCACGACGAAAAAAAAAAAAACTTAAGAAGAACACATCACCTCGCACACTGGCGAGCTACCAACGCGGAAAGCGTAAATCACGAGGTTTCCTGAGGGCCGTAGCCCGCGTGGAGAGTTTCCAGCAGTAATCACTGCCGGGATTTGTGGCGCTGCGGTCGTTCGGTTAAAACAAAGGATTGATGGGTATATTGCGTGGACTTGGTGTAGCCTTCGCGTTATTGTCTTTGGTTTCGCGTACTTGTTTGTTTATTACATCGAGCATTCGGGAATTCTACGTGGAGTTTGTGTTTATTTTATTTTTTATTCCCTCCTCTCTAACACTATCAAAAGTCTTCTGAACACGGACTTTCACAGGAAATAACTTTTAGACAAGAGGCACTTTCTTCTTCAAGAGCGCTTGTCCAACCATTCTTTCCAGCGACACACGATTTCCAAGAATTTTAATAGCACAGCTGTTCTTTGTTGAGTCTTCCCCGTCCGTTGGCGTAGCACTGGTGATAGTGTCTTGCGGCGTGGAGAGAGTGGTACTCGGTATAGGAGAGGAAGGGCTCTGCCACGCCAAAATGGGGGACGGTGAGGCTTGGTGGAAAGAAATAGTGAACCAGTGAGAAGAGCGTTACAAGGGGGAGTGTAGGTGCTCGGTGGAAACGTTTAACCAATGAGAGGAGAGCTATGAGGTGGAGCGTCGAGACTCGGGTGGAATTGAACCACTGACACGTGCACAGGTGTGCGTGAAGGTGAGTCTGATGAAGCGGGATATCAGCTTCGCTATCTCGACAGTGTTGATGAAGTGGAGATGGACACACTTTTCTCTTAATGTCTTCGAGATTCCATCTCCCCCTTAACTTCGTACTGTCTTACTTGGATCCACTTTCTAATCAGCAAGCTTGGTGCTCTGCTCCAGTCCAATTGCTAGCTGGCTTCAGTGCCATTACCTTTCGGTCATCTGTATATCTATTTTGTTAACGCGAAACCATGTCCTTCCTAGGTTGGCCCCACCGCGGTGGTCTAGTGGCTAAGGTACTCGGCTGCTGACCCGAAGGTCGCGGGATCAAATCTCGGCTGTGGCGGCTGCATTTCCGATGGAGGCGGAAATGTTGTAGGCCCGTGTGCTCAGATTTGGGTGCACGTTAAAGAACCCCAGGTGGTCGAAATTTCCTTAGTCCACTACGGCGTCTCTCATAATCATATGGTGGTTTTAGGACGTTAAACCCCACATATCGATCCTCGCTAGGTTGGCAAGATGACATTGAAAGAAGCTGGAAGATCAAAATTATTCGGAGTCCTCCATTTCGGCGTCTTTCGTAACCAGTGTAACCAGTGTCTGTTTGAGAAAGTTAAATCTTCTAAATCAATAAGCCAATAGTCTAGGTAACTGAGCAGTCATCGCGACCACACGAAATTTCGCTGGTCCCTATTTCAGTTCCCGGACCAGCCTTAATATTTTCGTCAGCAACGAAGTTTTATTTAAAGCGGAAACTCAAAAAAGCTTGGCGCTTTTTTTTTCTGATGAATACAGCTACGTGTTCTTGTAGGTTTACAAAGTGGAGAGGCTATCTTTCCTCTTCTGTATTCTTTATTTTTCTTCCCCACCCACATCACTCAATCACCCGGAGTGTCACAACCCGAACTCTTAATCTGATTGGCTTCATTACGTCTGGTCTATTGTTCGTATGCTTTTCTCTCCTTTTTTTTTCTGCCCCAGGTGGTTAAATACTAGTATTTCTTTTGCCTTCCCTGTTTCGGCACTCCCTCAATTTCTCTTATAGGGAACTCACTTTGAAGAAACAAGTTTTTATTTCTTTTTGTGACCGTCTTTCGTAAATAAGACAGCTTCTACGCTACGTTGCTTCCTACGCATAAATGCGAGTGCCCAGTTACGCTGCGTGGCAACATGCCGAACAAAAGGTGGATCTGGTGACACGCTTTCCTGTACGCAACGGCAGGCGGCACTGTTTGGCGACCCGGATGTAAAATGAAGACCGCCTGTGGGGTGCTTTTATGAAAGAAAGCTCCCCAATTGCGACAAAGGCGGACGTGTTTAGCATTACCAATGTGCTAGAATAAAAAAAAAATTACCGAGACGTCTCAAATTTCGGGTCGGCTGGCATTCGATTTCAGCGATCCCTTTTCACGAGAAAGTTCGACTCCGTAAAGAAATATTCAAAAAAAAGTAAACAAAACAGTTGGTTTTAAGAAAACGCTAATTTGAGCGTGTCCAATGAGACGGCGCTCGACGTTGAATGAGAAACTCGGCCGACATGCCCTCGAGGCGGCACGAAACATTAGTCGCGAAACCGGAGCTGAAATCAGGCTCGTTTCGAAAAGCGCAGACGCCACCCCGGAAGATGTTTTCAAAGTTTTCCTGTCGTCTTTAAGAACTGCGCTATGTGTCAATTATGACGCGGTGAACAGATGGTGTTTCCTCATTTCCGAAACTTGTTGAAATTGGGAAATTTCCGATCGCTCATACGCTGATTGGTGTTCATTACCATTACAAGAGGAAGCAGGTTATAAAAGGAGGCACGACGTACGCCACACGCAAGAATGCTCCTTGTTTCACAAACACATAAAAAAGTTGTACACACAGTTTACTCGTCGTTAATATTCATCCCCTCGTTTCAGTCCGAAAAGTCGCTAAGTCAACTTCAGATTTTCCACGCACCGCTCAATCTCGGAAGAAAGCGATGAAGTTCCGATGAGTTTGCGTAAGGAAATTACATCATTTGCGTAGACAACGTGCATATTAAAACGTGGGCTATAGAAATCAGGCACGCAAATTCTGATCGTTTCTCTACCACTGGAATAGCGTGGCTATTAATGATATGTGGAGCGTTAGAATTGGCTGGAATGTGCATGCTTTCACGAACAAATATACAATATAAAGTTTTCAGGTGCGAAGGACTTTAGGGGGAGGGGCTGTCACATGATTTGATCGTATGCTGTCGTATGCTGTCGTCGTCACTGAGCGCAACGCAAGCACAATTAAGAACATTTATGTCCGATGTGCAACACGAAAACTCGGTTAGCGTTCTTGAGGACCGCTTGTTTTACGAAACTTCATGTATGGCTCTTTTGCGCATGTATCTCTGTTTGGGATGCTTGTGCTTGTATCTCTGCTTGAATATTGAGCGCGCGCTCACGCTGAGAAGTAGTCTCTATTATCATCTTCTTCCAGCGCCTTGATGACAATAGCTGCGCAGCACTTTGGAATTTTGTTGAAGCGCACTAAAAAACGGACGGACAGAACAGGCTGACAAGTGAGCTTCAACAAATTTTTTCAATTATGAACGTAATCCAACTGGCCCAACTTGCCATCTTGCAGCACTTTGGAAGCTGGGCTGCTGTGTGCATGCAGTGCATGATGTATGTTAAGCGTAAATAAAAATTAATGAGTTAGAATCGGCATTGAATTGACGGGAAATTACATGTGGAGTTTAATGTTAATGCTAAAGTAACTAAACGTCAATTATTATGAACAATGGTGAATTAGAGGTGGAACTGAATGAATGCAAATTTAGTGAACTGGAAGTGAAACAAACATGAATTAAAAGTGTAGCGGAGTTCAGAGCATATTTAACGAGAGAAAGTTTCAATATTTTTTGAAGATGTTAGCCTGGCTCATATTTCTGTTTGAAACTTTAGGTGTCGGGTGATGACTGTGACATACATACAATCATCACATCTGCACACGAATCGTAACCATAAAATTCAAAACATCACGTTTGACATCACCGACGGCCGCAGAACTCACAGTTATCCATGCTGCTCTAGAGATAATAATAA